TCTGTTGCCCTATGGAGTCCAGTCCAGTGCACTGCTGTGCTCTGTTGTCCTATGGAGTCCAGTCCAGTGCACTGCTGTGCTGTTGCTGACACCATGTCTCTGTCTGTATCTCCGGCAGCTCTATCAGAGCAGTGGGTGTAGGCCAGACTGCGAGGGCACGTATGACCTCACCACACGGTTACTAACCGAGCTTGATGTGGAACAGGTACTCCACTGGGCTTGTTTCCAGCTCAGCAGAGCTGTCTGCAGAAACTGCACCATCTCAGCATGTCTCTCTTTCTGTCTTTCGTGAGTTTTTATCTGCTTGGTAGGGGGTTCTGTCTTTTCAGCTGTCTGGGTCACCTGGGTGTTCTCTTCACAAGGTCACTGCCAGCCCCCTTAGCTTTTTGCACCTTCATTATATGTGTGAATAATGCTCCCAAAGCCAGTTCTAGTGTTGTTTGAATCACAGGGTGGACATTACACACAGATCCAATGATTATGTGGTAATTACCATATAATAAAGGCCTGCGTGTACTAGTTACATTGTTACAATTGCACAGCCTGTACTTCAGCCCTGCATTCTAAATGAGCAGGTGCTGATTGGATCACATCCTAGTATCCTAGTATTAGGTCTACGGCCCAAGCAGTACAAGATTTGTTCACCCTGTCTAGTATGCACGCAGAAGATAAGCCTTAAATAAATGACATGAAGCTTTGTGATTTGGCTGTTTTGAATGTATTGAGAATATGTAGCATAAGCAGCTGCTGTCGTCCTGGTATCTGGTTTTCATTTGACATTCAAAGATGTAGCTGGCTCCATAGAGCAGAGTTTTGTCTGCCTCTTCCCTCTGTGATTGGTTTGAAAGTGTTCAGCTTCTTTGTGCGACCTCCTCCATTTCAATGAACATTTTAGGGGAAGCTAAACTTAACGTCTTTTAAACAGCAGGCAATCAATCTGTTCACACCTCCCTGTGTGTGTTTAAATTTAAGAGCAAAAACATTCCCCTTCTGGACAGGCAAGATTCCAGTGCTTTTAACCTCCCTCCCCTCCCTGCTGCCCAGACCCGTGCAGTGCCAACACACTCTCACTGCTATTGCTTCCTCCCATTGTGTTTCTGTTTTTCTAGCACTGCCACAGAAAGGACGTGTTCATCTGGCAGGGAGAAGCACACTGACACACACCAGTAGGAATAACGCAGAGCTGGCCCTAAAGTGGAGGCCCATGTGGTTAGGGCCCAGGGGAGCTGATCTGCTCTGACTGTAAACTCCTCAAGTGCTGCCCAGCTATGCTTCGCTCGCACAGATGACATGAGGATAATTAATCCAGAAGCAAACAACCTTATATGGCCATTATCGAAGCCCCTAGCTTTATGAAGCAGTGTTAGCCTCTGCAGGCTCCATTGTGCACTCGCACCATCCCTCAGGACAGCGCTAAGAGCACTGGGCACCAG